TATTTACAGATAGGAAGAGTGCACTGTGTCACACTGCATACGTCATCATGACCTCTTGGCCGCGCGAGGATTTCATCAGCTAAAATTTTCGTAGCCCAACTTTAAACGCAAAATTCACAAACTTCTAGTTCGAAGTATTCAACAAGGTTGGTATTAAAATGATCAGAAAAGATGAAATTTTCAGATAATGCAAAAATCACAAAATTGAAATTTTCATTGCATATACACTTTTTAATTAATAAAAAACATTACAAATTTATCCACACTTGCTTGTCACACATGTACATGTGCATGTGCAGAGCAAGATATCTGGGTGTTTTAATGAAGTTATATTAAGTAATGAACTGCTATTTTAGTCGATGGTATCCTCACCGATCAAAATATTTCTAGATAATACTAAATGACTGTCGCCCACAAAAAGCAGAAATATTACAAGCAATAAAGCTTCACCTCCTGCTATTAAACCATTTATATGCACAATAAAATATACCAACCAGCCGTGTAATGAGTTGCAAATATTTACTTGAAAGAAAATTCTTGCTCCCAAAACATACCGACATTGTGACAGAGTATAGCTTTGAAAACGATTATCTTGGATATCTTTCAAGTAACAGGTTAGTTAACTTGTCACATATTACTTTAATTACTACAATGTTCTTTTTGTGAATGAGATATTGTATATTATATAGTTATTTCATTCGCGTTAATGACAAGTGCAAATGAAATATGTACACGCGAGCTCGCATTTGAGCTATAAGGCTGCGAACTAACTCTGCTTGCTGGGGTGCTTCATGTTTTGATGTGGTTCTACCTTAGTTAATGTAATTAATATTGTGGATTGACTGTGGTTAAGCAAAAAAGTCCTCTAAAATTGATCCGAATGTTTAGCCAAACACTGAAGACTAAATGTCGTGACATCAATAAATCGTTTCAAATAGTGGTTATAGTTGTACTATACAAACGTACGAGAGTATACTTTACCTAAACCGGCATTCCTAAAAATAGCACGAAGTCCTTTACCTCTGTAAAGTGATTCATTGTTTGGTACTATGAGATAATAATGGAAGTATTGGTATACGGAGAAGCCAATATCTCATCTTCTGTTGCTATACGTATATATACAATTACCATTTGCCAAGGATATACAAATGAGATTACTTAGTTATGAGGCCCACGGCAGGCGACAGCCTTATTATATTAGCAAACTGAACCCATTTCTGAAATTGAAGAAGTAAGCACAATATATATATTGGTTTTTTTATACCATTGTCCAATATTCTAGACTGAAACTTGAATATTTTTTGTTTCCAATCCGTTAAATCTCATTCATACAGTACATCGAGTTTAAAGGCCAATGTATTTTTCAAATTTGTGACAAAATCATGTTAACCAATGGCAATGTTAAATAGTTTGGATAATTGAAGTTATGATGTTTTTGTCTTTTCCATGAACTAACCACGTAAATTATCTGATTGTACTCTAGAGATAATCATTGCTCGTCATAATATCAATGACCTTGACATGGGCTCGATGGTATCCACCTCAGTAGAGTCCAGGCTTAATAGTCAATAGCCAGTAGCACTCAACCAGACATCAGAAATTAAGGGTTAGCCGTTGCTGTAGTTGTCAAATGAGAACAGTTTATCTGATGCAAATTTATGAGTAACGAAAGAGCAATGAATGAGAAATGAAGGAGCATTGTAGTAAACTAAAATTGTTTTGGTTTATGTTTAGAGATCTAAAGTATACGACACGATCTATCCAAGCACCACCATGCATGCATGCAACTGTCCGTCTCCAAACATTAGGGAGCTTTAGATCGATTTGACTACGGCTACGAGATCTAGTACGACTACGCGAGATTTTTCCATTAAATTTGATTGAATTTCTGCTACACTGTACTTGAGACTTGGTATCGTCCTTTCTTTGGCATAGCGCATCTTTAAAACAACACTTGAACCAAACTACGTACAGTTTTAAGCTTTTTGGAGCAGATATTTAACGGGAAAATCTCGTAATCGTACAAGATCTCGTAGTCGTAGACAAATCTAAAGCTCCCTAGTATGTAGACCAAGTTGTCTAGAACGTTGCATGGCAAACATTGTTTTGATTTGGCTGCCTAATTTTATTCCCACCATTAAGTCCGGCTTCTGCACAGCATAAGCTCTAACAAAGATATTCGTTCAAGAATGATCTTTATATTATTTTTATATGAATATTTTTATATAAGGCTCAAATTATATGGCGTGTGGTGGTTAATTAATAAGCTTGACAATGCAAGCCCGTTTCAAAGCAATGACAATGTATTTAATCCAGCAAGACATGCCACACATAATTCTCACTAAATGACGTTCCTAATCGCTCCTGGTGTGTTGCATAGCAACAAAAAATTGGAAATGATTGTGTTTTTCAGTTTGTAAGTAGCCATCAAAGTGTCCAACACGACCTCAATAAAAATTGTATCAGTTTGGATTCGCCAACTACGAGGTTTTCGTCAAATTCGTCTCTCGTTCTGCCACGACCAAATATCGAGTGATGGCAGAAAATATTTCCGATATAGTGGTGTTAACATCTGGAATAGCATTCCAGAACAAGTAAGAAACAGCGAATCTTTAAATTCTTTCAATAGGAATATTTCCTCGTCTGACGAATTAGCTTTTTTCACTATTGCACCATTTGTTTTGTATTGTTTTTTTGTAATTTCGTAGTTCTTTATAATATTGTTAATGATTTTGTATTAATTTTAAATATTTTGTAACATTTTATAAATTATCTACGCCCCACTTGGAAGGCAGCTTCGGTTGAAGTGGCCAGCGTAGTCAAATAAAGTTTTATACTATAATATATATCCTTTATCCTAGTTTCTATAACTATAGGTGATTTATTTTTTCAGCTAAGCAAACATGTTACGTCAAATTTCATATATCTTGGCACTGGCTATCTTGTTTGCCGCCAATTTTGTAAAAGGTAAGTCAACATTGCTACCTTACTATACAATGATGTAAATTATTTCAATTGTCAATTAAACTTCGCTCACACCTGTACGTCAAATGTGAACGCTCCTGCATACAATGACTGTATTGCACTATTACTGTGTAATTTATGAGGAAATTAGTAACAGCCTAATAGGAAGGAAATTTTATTGTTTTATTATTTTATTTGGTCAGGCGACTCAGATGAAGATTATAATGACAGAGTGATAATAATCATAGCAGTGGCGGCCGTCCTGTTTGGATTGTCTCTCATCTTACTTGTTCTTACTGCATGTGGAATATACGCGTTGTAAGTGTCAAACTTTCCTATTTTCATATATTATGGAACTCATGGTAGCACTTTATCGACACAGTCACTATTATCGGCTTGATCTGATGATTTTCACAGCTCGATATGTGCAATATGATCAGTGTTTCGTCCGCGCACCAAGTGATAAGCAGAGATTGAGCTCCAAGTATACTGTACTACTGTAGTTTACATGTAGAGACTCGAAATCATAACCGGGCTCCTTCCCTCTGCAACGCAATTATAGCGGGGCAACAGAACGTTTCTTGCTCGCTATAACGACCTGAAAACCGCGTTTCATGGACTGCATTTCAGGTTAAATGTCTTGGTTGTATGGAGGGCAGCTGCCATTGGAACGTTTCTCAACTATAATGCACTCCTGGCTAAGACGTCATGCATATACGACCATGGATATGCATATCCAAGATGACTGAATGCAAAACGATTTTGATTGAATAAAGGATGATCCCTTTTAATAAAACAAAAAAAGACAAAGAAAATTTTTAACGTTAAGGTTTTGAAATATAGTGAATATCTTTTCCAAATATAAAAACAATTATATATCGCCATTCCCCTTTAACTTTACTTCGTGGTGGAAAGCAACTAGTAAGCCCCGCGCGTTGTGCTATTGAAACAGTGCCACACTTATTTGCTCCTGTATCAGTGTCTGAGATGATCTGAACAGCGCTTTATTCTCTTTCATTTTTTCTTTCCAGGAGGTACAAAAGAAAAGGCTGAACATGAAGAATACAAAACACAAATCTTTCCGTGCTTTATAACTAGACGTAGGTTTCTAAAACTAAACAGTATTTTTCCAAAAGACAGACTTGTTACCATAAACTTTTCTTTTAGCTTTGAATAGTTACTGTCATTTTACTAACTTTTGTCGTTATCACGTTTTTGCTATTTCTTTTGTAATTTTTAATCAATTATACATTTTAAACATTAAAATATATTGTGTTCAATGTTAATAGAGTATTTCCAAGACATACGCAAAATTGGAAAATATTTTGATTTGACACTTCAAACGCCTTACATGAACTTCTTAGAAAATTACAGTCTCTAGAAGTATGGTTGTTCGCAAGATCGGAAATTTCGGCCAGAATTGACATTTCATTAAGAACAAACTTAACTCATCCAAATTGAATCACCTAACGGACGTATAGTTAAGTAGTGGGGTAAAGTCAGTAGTATAAGGAAAAGGGGTTCTGGCGCGGGTGGAGCGCTAGAGCTCCTCCCATTACGTCATCAGGATACATTTCATATCAATTACACGCGTTTGTAATGTATTTAAATAATAATAATAATAATAATAATAATTTATCATTTAAATAAAGCGCATATGTTATATTATATACTCAAAGCGCTGTACATTATAAAAATCTAAATATATTAAGAATTAAATATGCTATATAAAACATGGTATTGTATACAATTAGAATATACACTAATGTATGTATCTATAATAAGAATGATAGAATCCAATATGGTCTCAACCTATAAAGGGTTATAAGCCTTATTGAAAAGAAATGTTTTCAAGCGTTTCTTAAACACAGAAATGTTTTCACAGTTCCTGACATCCAGAGGCAGAGAATTCCATAATTGTGGAGCAGCATGTGCGAAAGCCCGATCTCCTAGAGTCTTACAGTTTGTTTTCGGGATGTATAATAGACCTTGACCATCCGATCGTAATGTCCAGCGATCACTTGATTGTTTTGGTATAAGCATTTCAGAGATATAGATAGGGGCAATGTTATTAAGAGCCTTGTAAACCAGTAAAGCAATTTTGAATTCCACCCGGAATTTTACTGGTAGCCAGTGAAGTGATCTCAAAACTGGGGTGATGTGAGAAAATCTTGGACAGTGGTAGATTAGTCTAGCAGCGGCATTAAGAACTCTCTGCATTCGCTGGACTTGATACTTAGGTATGCCAGCCAACAGAGCATTACAATAGTCCACGTGTGATGTCACGAAAGCATGTATCAAAGTTTTCGTTGTATTAGTAGATAAAAATTTTCTAATTTGTCGTATTTTATAAAGTCCTCTGAATGCTTTACTGCACATCTTGCCTACATGAGCTGACATTGACATATGCTTGTCAAACCAAGATCCCAAATTTCGAACACTGTCAACCGGCTTAATTTGGACCCCACCAACGTTAACGGATTCAATGTTTATTTTCAAAAGTTGTTGTGGTGTACCAATTACAAGAAATTCCGTTTTCGAATCTTTGAACATTAATTTATGAGACAACAGCCAAGTACGAACATCAGAAATACAATCTTCCAGTATGGCTAGGGTACTTTCTGAATTATCTTGACAATCTGGGCGAAAGGATACATAAAGTTGCGTGTCATCAGCATATCCATGAGAAGAGAGTAAGTGCCTGTCAATAATGTCATATAGTTGGGATACATAAAGCAAAAAAAGTATGGGGCCAAGACAACTCCCTTGAGGCACTCCGTACTTAACATCGCAGTCTTCAGAAAAATTGTTATCCAGATCAACTCTCTGTTTCCTGTTCAATAGATATGATTTTATCCATTCAAGAGCCCTATCCGTCACTCCAAATTGATACTCCAATACGTCAATGATAGTTTTATGATCAATTGTATCGAACGCTGAGCTTAAGTCCAAGAGTACAAGAAAGCACACTTTCTGCCTGTCCATACTCAGAAAAATATCGCTTTGCACCTTTAGCAGAGCCGTCTCTGTCGAATGATATTTCCTGAAGCCAGATTGACAGGTAGGGAGAGGTGCATGTTTTTCACAATGGTTCAGCAATTGGTTGGCGGCTGC